TAGATATCGAAACTTTCAATATAAATTTACATTCTCCTAGAGCTGCCATGAATTCATAGGGCAAAAACAATATTGGAATACTTAGTATTGGAAGTTAACTCTTTTCTCAACACTTCAACATCGGCCAGTTCCATTTAAGGTCTTTTGCCTTTAGAAAATCCTTCAGAAGTGAACTTTGATTTACCTTTGATAAATTGATGAGGTGGAGCAATATCAAATATATCATCATCGTCTTCACCTCCTTGAATTTTGAATTCAGACATGGTCAATCTTGCAGAATTATATTCTTCATCTTCCATGTAAAATTTAGCATCAGCAAAATGAGATTCTTCTTCAAAGAATGGTCTGAACTTAGCTACCACACATTTGACTTCTCCATCTCGGTTACATTTGAAGCACTGGGGCCAAGTCGAGGGTACCAATTCAGTTTCATGCAGCTAAACATGTTCAATGAGTAACTCATAGAATGTTTTAGCGTTAATGACATGGAAGATAGTTGAGGAAATTAACTCTCCTCTTTGTAGCTTCAGATGAGTCATGCTAATGACCTTTCTGGTTGAATCCTTGAATCATGGTCTTGCTCCCAGATAGATCACCAACATTAATTTTGATTGTCTTCATTGTTTTGACTGACTTAATGTTTACAACAGATCCACAATCGATCATTAAATGAGTTATCCTGCATTCTCAAATATAACCACAACCGTACAGTGGTATATTGTGAAAGTTAGAACCCAGTTGTAAATCTTCATTGTCTAATGTGATGGTGGTCATACAGTCTTATCAAGTTGTGGATTCAATATATTCTAAGACTTTGCCTTTGTATTCTTTCGGATCAATCGATACCGCGACTAAAGACGTGCGATCATCAAAAAAAGACTGAGAGACTCTGTCCTGATACGTTCTTCGTTTCATTTTTCTCCTCTACATTGACAACATTTGAGGTAAAACATTTCTTGTCAAAGAAATCCTTAGAAAAATAATCATCCAGGGTTGATAGTCCAGAAAGAGCGTGTAAAGTCAGTACGTTGATTTAGTAGATATTCTCGATCTGACTTTAGACCTTCTCATTTGGTTGTTTCTTGGTCTTGACTTCTCATTATAAATACCAAAATTTGGGAATAGTGGATCTTTTCCATGACATCTTTTAACAAGATCCATGCCCGCTGATTTTCTTCTAGTGTTACTTCTTTATTAGGCTGGACTTTTGCACACAATGTTCCCAAATTTGGTTCTACAAGAGGTATAGAATGTGATATTTTACATATATTGTCTAACATTTTGTCTTTCTCCTTCTTGCTTATCAAGGTAGACCAATCATTACTGATCTCATTTTTCGACTTTGAATCAGAATCTCAAACATCCAAGTCATCTATCATAATTTCGTAGAAAATTGGACAATCAGGTGCACGTGGTCTATTCATCCCTAGATTGACGTAATTGATGGTAATTTATCCGTTTACCTCAAATTCCACAGGATGGCTCCTTCTAGAAGTTGAGATCCAAACACTTTAATCGAGGATTTACTAGCATCGTAATTACGAGAAAACACATATTCTTTCTTTGCAATTGAAATTAGATCAAATGATCCTAATGAAACGATCGAGCAAACGATTACTGTATTTTCTCCATTTTCAAGTTTGATATTATTTTCTTTGTCTAAGCAAACGATAAAATCTTTTAGGACGAAACATTTTTCCACTAGATGGCTAATGATTCTATAAAATTTATAATACTTAGGATGATCAATCATACCAACTTCCTCAGGTCTCTTTGATATCGGAAGTTCGATTATCTTCTATTCGAGGAGTTGATATAGAATTCTCAAAATTTTAGAATCGGAGAATATGTACAACTTCTCTTTAAGTTCTTTCAGAGTCACATGACCTCTAATTTGGAATTGTCCTTTGTTTAAATCTGAAATCTGGCTCTGGATTTAGATTTGAGCTTGACCTTTGGAAGGCTATCTTTGCAGGGATAGTGAAGATTATCATAGCTTCTTCGGATGTACCTGCCTTACGTCCTTCTTTATTTCTTTCTTGTCATGTGGATCACTTGGTAAGTAACTCACATGCATTGCGATTTGAAGCTCTAGGTCATGAGCACGTGTTGCCAACTTTTCGAATGAATGTGACATATTTGCTTGGAGATTATAGAGTAATCCCAATGCATGTCTTGTACACACATATTAATGGAAGATATTTTGCTGATTCATTCTTTTCAATTAAGCATGAGGTTTTTTCAGCGTTCAATGTATTCTACAATGGGCTCTTCCTTGCTGTGCTTCGCTCGAGCAAGATCTGGAAGGCTGGCAATTCGTCTAGTACTGTAAAAGCATGTTAGGAATTCTCGCTCGAGTTGATCCTAACTGTCAATTGACCCAGTTGGTCAATCCACATACCGTTCAAATTGGCACCTTTGAGGAAGAGTACGAACTATTTCACAATGGTATCATTGTAAGTGCCTACATTGTTACACATCTCAGTAAAGTGAGCAACATGTTGCTCTGGGTCGCCCTTCCCATCAAAATACTGAAATTTTAGAGATTGGTAACCAAGTGGCGTATTTATTTCATCGATTCGATGATTATAGGTCTTGGCATACACCAAGGAGGATTGTAATAAACTACCATACTAGTTGCGAATGATTGAAGTTGTTGGACGAATAGAACAGAAAGTTTAGTGGTGTTACGCAATATGTTTTGAATAACTGTCTGATCATGCATATATTGCTTCTATTGGCATTCTTAGACTTCTAGATCTTTAGCTTTGGAAGATCTTGGGTTTTCTTGATCTTCTTTAACCAACGAATTTTACAACTTTAGCATGTGCATGAGTGCAGCAATTTGTGCATCTTCTTCATTTAGTGATTTTGTTATTTTTTTCAATGGCTAGAGCCATTTGTTGGATTCGGTCATCTAAGCCCAATGTCACTTTCATGATGATCACTGGCCCAAGTAATTCTTCCGATAAAGTATTGTCTCCCTACCTTTGCAGAGAAGTGGCGTATGAGGATCTAGACAAGGTTCTGTCATTGAAGACGGAGTTAGAACGAGAGCTTTTCGCCGAACTCTTGATCTTTTATGTTGAACGAGAGCTTGGCTTTTTGAAAGCAATTTTCATTTTGCCTTTGTTGAAGAACTTCTTTAGTGGCTAGACCAGTTGAGTTTTCCCAACTTTTGTTTGGGCTCTGATCATATGGAATAGTTCAACAAGTGTCTGTTTAAGATAATTCATAGTTTGCTTTGCCTTTTCGCTTGCCATTGTTGATGTAGTAGTTAAAACTTGAAGATTCTGATATTAAAAGATGAGAGGACAAGATAATCCCATTGAGCATGCTAAAAAATTTGTACAAAGGATTTCGTGTATTGAAATACAGAAATTGTTGCAAATTTTATTTTTTTAAAAATACAATGGGATATTAATCTTCTTGTACTTGCAAAATTATAAAATTCTCTTATTAATAATATGAATGTTTGAAGACGAAGGGTCACGTGGCTTGAATCCTGTACTTCGAGATTTGTTAATAATTTGATTTGTCGAGAACTTGACTTGTTCGACGTTTGGATCTTAGGGCTTGGATTTGCACTTCGGATCTTAGACTTGAACTTGATTTGATTTAAAGAAAACTTTGATCTTCTTGGACTTGACTTGGAATTGTTTAGAACCTGTTTGGCCCCCATTACAGGGAAAATTTAATGTATAGAATAGTATTTTTTGAAAAATGAGTGGTTGAAAAAGAAAGAAAAATTTTCGATTTACGTATAATATTATTTTATGGAAGATTGTGTGGTTGAAAATAGAAAAGAGAAAAATAGAATGTAATGTAATGTAATTTAATGAAAATCAAACAAGGGCTTAATTTGAAGAAGATTTTGATTTTCTTGATGTTCGTCGAACTAACACTTGAGAGATTTATTCTCTTCCTTCGGTTTTAGGATTTCTTCAGGGTTTCGTAATTTCCTTCTGCTCCTTCACTTGTGAAATGTTATGAACCTTTGGTCCAATTTATACGAAAGACCAATTTGGAAACCGTCCAATTAACTTTAATTAAAAAGAATAATTGAATAATTGTGGATTTAAAACGGTATGATGGGCCTTTAAATTTCTATGTGCTCTAGTCGACTTTTTAATTTAATAAATTTAATTAGGCTAATTATTTAGATCGTCAGAATCCATTATTTTATTTAATTTTTTTATGTGTACATATATAAACATAAAAGAAACAAAAGGACATAAAACAAAACAAAAACACAAATTCAATACCATGATGAAAAATTACCAAAATTTAATATCATAGCAATATTTTTTTTTAAAAAAAAAAAAGCATAAAATGTGGTTAGTAAGGTGAAGTTTCAATATTTTATAAGTCTAAGCTGGCTGCGACGCCTGAGCAATGTCTATATATAAAAAATAGTAAAAACGTGATTAGACAGCAAGGCCTCGTTTCGCATCTATACGAAGTTTAGACAAGCTTCTTAGAAAATTAATTAAAGACTCGTTTGACATAACTTTTGAAAAGTTAAAAGTTACTTCTATAACTAGTTTAGTTAAAATAGTTTTTAGAGAAAATTATCCTTAGTGAGTATACACATGAAACTCTTTCATAAAAAGCAGAATTTTAGTGAAACAGCCCTTAATAGTCCAATTGTCACAAATTGAAGTTAGTGATTCAATACAAATTTAACTAAAAGTTGAGTGACCGATAATGAAATTTTCCCAATTTTAATTTAATTTCAGTACAATATGACTCTGTCCACTGCTGCTGGATACAACGATTAGACCTCTCTCTTTACTGTTTTCACTTTAAATGGATTAAATAATCCACATCCTCCCTTTAACCTTTTCTTTTAGTTCCCCTCTCTCTCTCTCTCTCTCTCACACACACTCGCGCACACACTCTTTCGCTAACTTTTCCATTATATAAATAACGAAAGCGTAATACCTTCCTTGTTAGTTATCAGCTACTAAATGTATTCCGTATTCTAAATTACGGTAATTTTCGTTTAACTTTTGTTAATTTTTGCAGTATATATTATATTGCGTTTTGAATTTTTTCGTCTCTGTAATGATTTTGAGTTTTATGTCTATGTGTATGCTCCGCGTTTGTTGTAGTATTGTAGATGTCCTTGTTGAATGTACCCATTAGTAGCATAAAGAAAAGCAGCTGTAGAGTAACTTTGTTTGCCTAAATGCCTTGCAGTTATTGGAAAACTTAGGTGGAGAGATTAGAATGGAACTTTCATTAGAATTACGACAGAGTTTTTATTTTTGAACTTAATTTTTTGTTTTAATCAGTAATGCATTAGTTAATTTGCACTTTTTTTCTTTGTATCCTTTAGTAGTGTCCGGTTTTTGAAATGCTGGTGCAAAGCTTCATTTATATGTTGTGGTTGTTTTGTACTTGATTTACATCGAACAAAAATAAAATACCGATGAAGGTCGATTTATGGACAGAAGCATAATATATTGGTCTAAATCATGAGTGGTGAACAAGAAAAGGGGCTGACTTTATGACTGTGTGATAGTTTAGATTTGTTTTGAAAAACATGAATGAAAATCCTAATTATATTTGAGAAGATGCTAAATGAAGGAATATGAAGTATACAATTTGAATATTCATTTTCGATTCTGTTTTGGGTGTCAGATTTTTAGGAAAATATTAACTGCTAGATTCAGAGCACTTTCCCGGCTAAGCTTTTATTAGATTATAAGATGTGGGTTCTATGATATGTGTGACTAATAAGTGAGTAAAAGTTGTGGGCACAGTGAGTGATAAAAATAAAGGTTGACCAGCTTCTAAGCAATTATAAGCTTTGCTAAACACACTCAATGTTATGCATACTAAAAGTAGAAAGCCTCGTAACTTTGAGCCAAGTACTAATCATGCTATGGTCTATAGTGAACCTCAACTTGCAATTGGCTGCTAACTGAAAGAGAGTTATGCTGTAAGAGAATTTCATGAAGTATACATGCAGATTAACTTAGCTTCTCCTTGGCCTGTTAACAATTTGCAATAACGGTACTCCACATCATTTTTTGGTCTTAAACTGAGTCAATTCGTGTGGTTTCACTTTTCTTGTAAAATTCATTATGGGATGCAAAATGCAGATGTGACCTATTGCATTTCTTTCTGTTTTCATAATTTAGAAATATCCCAGTTAATGAGAATTTTTATAAACATATGTAGCCATCCTGAGAATCCCATAGAGAGATATCACTGCATTTTGATGTTTCGCAAGCCTCATTAATGAAAGTTATAATTTTGTGCCTTTTGTTTGCTTCATAGTTTTCACCATCTATTTGACCAGTTAAGCAGTTGATGACTTAAATTTCTATTTATATTCACTATAAAGTTCATCATCCTGTCTTTCTGCTTAACCCAACTAAGATATGAGAGGCTTAAATATACTGCTAAAAAACTGTTGACGGACGTCATGGCGTTCCTTGTGACCGCTCAGATTAGTATTCCTCTATTTGTTGAAATTTGAGAACATTGAGAACTAAGTCCTTGGAGGAGATGGTTTTTCTGGTTTTAACTATGATGATCATGAAATATTTAATCTGTAACATTTCTTCTCACTAGTATTTAGAGCGAGTGTACCTTTTGCCTTTTATCCTTTTACTTGTGATGCAGTTTGAATATAGGCCTTACCCTGGATGCACCTGAAGATTTCTATCCATCACTTCAATGGATTTTAAAATGAAGCCAAGAACTAATGAGGTTTCTCGGAGGTCCAGAGGTTTGCAGGAGGAGGGCCCGAACTGGGTCCTTATTGCGGGCAGTGCTCTGTTGAGTACATTAGCAATTCGCTTGGGATATAAGGTGAAGCAGGTCCTTGACACTAAAAAGCCTGAAAATAGTAATAATAATTTAAAAGGTATGAAAATATGAAGGTTATTTTTGAGTTTTATTATTTATTTATTTATTATTATTATTTTATTTTTATTTTTGTACTTTCTTTATGCTTTAAAAATGTTGTTTATAATGCAGGGAATGGAAAATCTACTGATGAAAATAAGTCAAGCAGCTTCCATTTTCAGCCAAGTGCTTATTGTTTTCCAGACCACGTGGATGGTTGTTATAACAGTTATTCAGGCACCGACTTTCACCAATCTAAACTTAAGTAGTTTGGAGGGTTGATTTCAAATGTTACTTCATCTTGTATAATTTTTGTTTTTGAGTTCTAAATTGAGCTTAAATCTCACGCTTTTGCATACAAATGAGGATTTTATTTAAAGGTTCAGTATTTTGACAGAGTAATCATATTTGGCTAACATCACCAATTATCATGGAAATCATTGCTTTAGAATCATTAATGATGTATTTAAGTGTAACAAAATTGTATTTGTGCCTGTGGGAGTGGTTACTATTATATTCTTGTTCAACCAATATGTAGTAATATTTTTTTGGTGCTTTGGTTAAACAGGATCAAGAAACGTGGTTGAAATAAAACAGCAGGCCAATGGCCATATGGTGCCTGAACATGAAATGGTTCTTCCTTTAGTGACTCGACCTGCTCCCGAGTTTAGCAAAGAAAATGGTGTTTTATGGGCATCTTCTCCTGATCATCTTGAGCTTCCACAGAAGCCATTCCACCAATCAAACAGCTCGGACTCGCTATGTGTCTCCGAATCTGGATCTGATATTTTCAGCAAGCGAGAAGTTATACAAAAGCTGAGGCAACAGTTAAGGAGACGAGATGACACCATTCTTGAAATGCAGGATCAAATAACCGAACTTCATAACTCACTTAACTCTCAGCTTTCATGTTCTTCCCATCTGCAATCATTGCTAGATGCTGCAAACAGGGATTTATTTGATTCAGAGAGTGAAATTCAGAGGCTAAGAAAGGCAATTGCTGATCATTGTGTGGAACATATAGATTCTAGATACAAACCCCCTGCAGTTCCCATATGGCCAACTGAAGGGAGGAATGGCCATGCAAACGAGTATCTTGAAGTTGAAAACAGTTCAATGTATCCGAAAACTGGTAAAGGAGAGAGGGAAAAGATTGAAATGCTGAAGAGGGAAGTGAGCGAGTTGAAGGAAGTAATAGAAGGAAAAGAATACCTGCTGAGTAGCTACAAGGACCAAAAGGCCGAGCTCTCGGTGAAGATCAAAGAGTTGCAGCAGAGATTAGATTCTCAACTTCCAAATATTTTGTAGTCTGCTTCAGATATTTTTGCATGTCTGTTTTCTAATCTAAAATAGAGTCCCCGATTTTTCGGAATACATTGCTCTGTTTTCTTTTTCTTTTTTTCCTAATTTTTTTCACTTCTGCATCTTTGTGCATATCTGAAAGAGAGAATGAGTTGTTTATAAAAGTCATACACTAAAGCAAGCTACATTCACACAATTCTGAGTGTGAAATCAAGTTTTGTACTTTGGACATGTTCAAATGTTCAACATGCATGCAATCTATATATGCTTCTTAAAAGTATGCATTTGGAATTATATTTGCCACTGCAAATTCCAGGTTTTCCTAAATAAGAAGGGGATGCTAATGTAATCCTATCACTGGAACATGACGACGGCCTATTTCATTAGTTATTTTCAAAACAATGCTTGGGGCAGATTCTCTAACCTCGTAATAAAGGGCTTGATTGTGTAAGTTCTGTTGGTCATTGCTTCTGGAAAAAGTGATTACTTCACCCGGGATCAAATGGCTTATTTTCGTAAGATAATTTTACTGACTACAATAATAGACTATACGTATAAAGGTAAAATGTATTCCTCATCACTAACTCAAGGCTTAGCTTATGGGTTTATAACCAGTCGGGTACCTCCGGTAATAAGTTGGTTTTAAGGATGAATTATACCAGATTGTACTACTTAGCCTCTGTTTGACAACCATTATTTAGATAAAATGAAGTTTTGAATAGTGATTTTTTTAGGAAATGTGTGGTTAAAAAGTACGAAAACTTTTGTGTTTACGTGTAGAATATTTTGTTGTCTGAATGTGAGGTTAAAAATGGGTATGTAAGAAAAGAGTTGTGAAATAATAATGGTCGAAAAAGGGCTTAATGAGTCCTCTATGTTGGAGTAGAATTTCATACAACTTTATGGCACAGAAGCATTACATCTGTCCATATCAGAAGAGGTAATTATACCAGGTACAAGACTCCCTTTCCATCCTGTGTGAGGTTGGTAATGAAAAGAGATTCTTAACAGAAACAGTTTTACAAGAACTCAAGAAATCTGCATAGTTAAATCGAAAGCTATTTTACATTTAGTGGTTCTTCCAGGACGGATCCAGAATTAGATCCAATACCGGGCTACAAAATTTCAAACCAGGTTACTACGCGAAAAAAAAAAAAATTACACATAAAAAACTGGTTTTTTACCTAAAAAATACTTTAAAAAAAAGTTTTTGGGCCTGAGTGTGGGGAGGCTACAGCCCAGCCCAGCCCAGTCCCCCCTAATCCGTCTCTGGTTCTTCGTGATTCTTTCTTGCTAGTTTGATTATATTTACCTTTTGTTTATATCAAACGCTAAACAATTATTAAATAAGTGATGGTGAAACTCGAACTTTGACCCTTTGTGATCTAATACCATTTATACATTCTCTTCAAAAACCTTTTAACGTTAACAAAAAGTAGCACATGATTATTCTTAAAAATAATGTTCAAATAACAAGAACGTGAATTGTCATTTTAAACAAGTTTAGAATTATATTTTCGAATCTTATCGTAAATTTACCTTTTTTTTAACGATTAAATCAATATTTATGAAAATCTCGAAACCTCTAGTTATATTTTCCATTACATGGTCAATATTGAGCCTACTCAAAATCCTCACCGTGAGCTAGCCCAATGAGTCCATGCCTCCCTAAAATAGAGAAAGGCGGAGCTTCCACGATCATCTTGGATATCGATTATTACTAGGATTTTTAATACTCCACAAGAATTCGACAACACTAATGTTCGACTGAACCATCAATACATGTTTTTACCAAATATATGAATATGAAACTCGTAAAAATACTTTTTGATTCCAACATCGGCCAAGAGATGTGTGCATTCGACAAGGACTTAAGCAAGATAGCGCGCCGGCAATAAATGAACGATCACTTGGTGCATGCATTCGGCGGGGGAATGAGACATGCAATGCTGATTTACTTGATGATAACGTTTCTTGGACGAAATTACTCCGATATAGAGGGCCGAAGGTTGCGGGCATAAATTTTATAACAAGTCAAACTCCCACCAGACTGCAATGTTGTTCAAAAGAAACAAAGTTAGTTTGAAACTAAATGTTGGCTAAGTGATGGTAAACAAAGATTTGCAGTCCCTATTTAGTTGAATCATATAACCCATAACTTTTCAACCAGACATTTCATCAACTTCTATCAAAATCTAATAAAAAAACGTCCATATTTCAATAGGAAAAACAAGCACAAGAATGACACATAACCCGAACGGTTGCTGAGTACTTGGATTATGGAACCTTTTGGCTTAGTGGGAAGTTGAATGGTCTATTTAACTAACCAACCTAGTAAGTGAACTACATACGAAATATGAGTGTGTTTTCCAAGTGTTAATAGCAAAAATTGAAGAGAATTGTGTTAGCCCTTTGCTTAAAATTGTGTATCATTGTAAAAAATAAATTTACATTATCTTTTCACTTTCATTTTTTGATTAATTAATTTGTATAGTATATATTACAGTTGTTGCAAAACCAGTACGAAGTTGTCTCCATCGCAACTGTTTTTCTGAACCGTACGTTAAATGAAAAGAGACCATAGATGGAAATTCTCGATAACTGTTGGGCTAACTATATTACAAAGTCTATGTTAATAAAATCCTAAAAGTTGGGAACTTCGTAGATGAAAAGTTCGAGCAAGTTTGAGTAAATACGAATCTCACTTAGAGTCATTTTTATTTAATTGTGATATTTTTCATTATAGGGTCAATTGGGAGCCTCAATGAGCAAAAGAGATTATACTTGTAGCAGTGATGATGTTACCTCAAGTGAGATCGGCAAACTTTCAACTCAGGAATTCACCTCGAGTCCATGCCACGGGCAAAGTAAAGAAAGGCTGGATTTATGGCCATTCATCCCAAGCTTTCAAGATCATCTTGGATATCGGTTTCCCCCAATCTACTCTTGCTCATCATCGCTACTAACAAATCTCAATTGGTTTCCATTCCTATGGTCGTTGATGAAATCATGATTCGGATCCAGTGGCATCTAATTGGATTATGTTACTTGTACATAAAAATAGTATATATGGTATAACATAAAATGATGTTTGAATAAAAAAGTTAATTGTGTTATAAACTGACAAATAATAGAGTGACATGTGATATTATATAATCCATTATGTAAAATTCGATTTACATATAGTAATATCCCGTCTAATTTAATTATACAAAATTTTTCAAACACAAAATATAATAATTTAAAAAGTAAAAAAAAAAATCATATAAATTTTTCTTTTTCAAAATTTAGTGGGCCCAGGGTTTGTGTGTTATTATTATTATTATTTTGGCACACTAGTCAGGCTTATAGTCTGATCTTGAATTCATCTTTAGCCCCTACATCTCTCTGCCACTGCCTATAGCTACTCAAACATTTCATATCACTAAAGTCTGAAAAGTCGAAAGAGCTCAAACTAGTCATGAAGCTTGGATATGATTTTCCGATCGAAAATCCATGGATCACGAACAGTATCTCATGACCTTTTGCCTCCAAAAGCAGCCTTCCTGATGCCCAAGCATCCATTCAATGATTGTTTACCATGTGGTACAATCACCAACCCGAGGTCCTGATAGTCCACAACACTAATGTCGGAGTAAGCCATCTTCGACACCTCGATCCTATTTTATTACCAAATATATGAACCTCGTAAAAAAACTTCAAAGTCTAACACCATCCATCAAATAATACATAGCCAGGATATTTCTTTTTTTCAAGAGCTTTAAAGCATCTTAGAGAAATTCTCTAAATACAAAATACTCACTATTTGAGAGTCAATACCTAAAAATGATCTTTAAGATACTCTTAAAATAGAGATTGGATCTCTAATTCTTACTTTTAATGATTACATTTAATAAGCTACAAATTTTAATGCTGTAATTTTAGATTATTCAAATAATATTTGAATTGATTGATCATTGACATATAAAATTGTTTAAAGCAATAGAAATCAATAATTGTATATTGATTAAAAAAAAAAAAAGAAAATAAAGTGCCAAAATAGATAGTATTATTGCAGTGTATGATAAATTTTATTCTCTAAATTTAAAGATGATTTCTATTGTGCATAAAATGCTCTTCATAAATAGAGTCTCTAGAAGATATCAATTTCTACCTTCCTCACTACCATTAAACTTCAAAGAGAGGAGTATAAACTCATCATGAAAGTAACAAAATAAGGTTCCTATGAAACTTTTCTTTACATAATACATACAGAAGAAGTCAAGAAATGAGATTTTACAGTCTTGACAATGAATCGAGTAATCTTACTAATATAATATCAATCCATGAACACAATGAAAGAGAGAGAAAACTCGAATAACCAAGCTTATATTTTTTAAACATTATATGTATGCAATTTACTTGTTTGAGAAAACAATGGCATACAACATATGACAAGGATAAAAAGCCTATATCCACCAAGACTTAGAAGACGATGTCGTTAATGATACAAGGAGGGGTAAAAATCAATCATGTCAAATTACTGATTTCCTCTGCACATCTAAGAAAAGTAAATTTCAATGTACAGTTCCGCCAATCAAAATTAAACCTGACCTTCCAGCTGAACCTTGCTCAGCTTCTCCGCTTCAAGTCTCCTCAATGATGTCGAACTCATTTTCTCTCCACTAGAATCCTCGGGGACTAAATCTACAACATTGATCTGCGTTCCATGGGGTGACATTTTTACTAGGAAAAATTGCAACATTTGTAGCCAACTTATTGCCCGAATAGCAAGTTGGTCATCAACCTTCCATTTTAGTTTCATAATCAATCCTCAACGACGAAAACCTTCCAAATCCTTGTTAAATCATATCACATGACCTCATGGACGTGCCCAACTTCAAATTAATAGGCACCAGGCCAAGTTGGAAAACAAAATCTAATTTCATCAAGTTGGAGGTGTGAGTGCCACATGATGAGTTAAACAAAGTTTTTGATGATCTTATTGTTTGAACTTGAGTTAAGGACCAACTTGCTACTCAAGCAATAGGTTGGGGGACTAATTCTTCAGTTTTCCCTTCTACTATCATAACAAGTAATTCATGTGGTCTGTATAGCTAAACCTTTAGTTGCGGGAGACCTCTCTCTGCCCTCCTTTTATTGACTGACAATCCTCCAGGCAATGTCTTTGCTGTTCGCACAAAATTAGCTATTAAATGACTATTATAACGATATGAATAACGATTTTTTTTATGATCATGGGTGTCTGGGCCAGCGCACACACGCCTCGACCAATCCCACGGGACCCTGAGATTTACAGTCGGGTACTCATCTCAGTAGTCCTAAGAAGACTCGAACTGATAACTATTGGAGAGCAAACCCAAGACCTGATGACTGAGCTACCTTCAGAGTTAACGATATGAATAACGATAATAGACAAATTTGTCCAAATCATTCAATTTGGAAGTAAATATTGATAGGATATATAAGAAAACGGAAGGCCTGATTATGTTGTTCACATCTGGTGAAAATACTCATGATGAACTGTTCATTGAAATTGAACAGGGCGATACAGTATCAACTTCATTTCCATTCTTCTAACTAATATCTTCAAGGCTCCCGTGTGCCAATCTAAGCAATAACATTAAGGCTCTATCTTGAGTACTTCACACTTTTATTTGCTCAAGAAATGCTCTTCAGTTTTCTTTAAATTCAACGAGATCGACCAAACTGTTGTCCTTCGGGATTTAGCCCCAAGTGGTTTTTGTACGAAAATTGCATTTTGTGCATAGCTTTTGAGATTGCACCCAACACTTGCTCTGGTCTTTAGTTTACTGAAGCCACTCACACATGCTGTTATATAGTAAAGAGATGAATGATATTTATTTCCTCCTACGGTTCTTGGCCTGAACATGCATAATTATGATAATTTTTTGATTCATCAGTTGGCAATTTAAGCATTATGATCTCTTTATGCAATATCTAGTACGCAGTTCTTGTCTACTATGTTAAAAACCCAGTGGCTGATGCATCAACAATATAGAAAAGGACTGGTGATCTTTGTCCTTTGCCATTTGTCATTCTCCAAAATTGTCCTATTTCTATTTTGTCATTTCACCAAGCTTGATGAGTTGCCAAAGTGGATACCGTCAATTTGAAAAACTTCAAAGTTTGCATCAATGTTTGAAGATATTTGATTTTGGTAATAACTTTTGGCTCATTGGCTTTTAAAGTCTATGACCGTGAACTTAAACTTGTCATTTGCACAATTTTTAGTATTTTTCAAGTGAGGAAGTACACAAATTTTTGAGCAACCTATAGAATTTTCCTTTTAACTTTATAGGTCTCTTCTCATTACACAAGATACCCATAATACCCATTCAGTCAAGAGTTACCTACTCTGAAAGGTTCACGGAAATCAATATTTTGTCTCAAGCCATGTTAAATTTGATCTCCATTGTTAGCCTTGTAAATGAGAGATTCTATAAATTACAACCATCTAGATCTCCATACTTTAATTTATCCTCTATTAATGTCTTGTTGATGTATACGCTATACACTCATCTTTTAGTTTATACATTCTACTGTGTTCACACGTTCATTTGAACATCTTCATTTCTACGTCCACACCATATCTAGTCTAACAGTCATTCAAACTTTCCTTTTAACTTTATAGGTGTCTTCTCGTCACAAAAAATACCCATAATATTTCTCCATTTCATCTGGACTATAATTATATTTATCAGATTCTCTCTGGATTTCTCATTATTCAGACTTAAATACCTTACCAAAACACTCTTTGGGACAATAAAGCTATTGACACCACCATAATCCTTAGTCTTTGTATTTAACTTAAAATCCTTAGATTCCCAATTAATTTTTCTAAGTTAATACAATCTTTCATCGTGTAGTCTAATCAACTAATATGCGTGGCACATAACATACACCAAAATAACTTATCTTGGATCTCTAGTATTTTCATCGATGACTAAAGCCAAAAATAAAGAATATTTAAGCAAGCATTTGTAATATGAAATCACCCAGGACTACTCTCTTAATAATTCACCCCACTGGAAACTGGATTTTTAGAAATAAGCTCATAGATGATAGCGTCACATTTACTAATATCGCAATGCAAAAGAGAGAGGGATAATGGGCCAAAAAAAAAAAAAGAATGAAAAGAAAAAAAAATTGAAGTGAAAAAAAGAATCACAATTCTTAGAAGAGATTCAAACCTGACGACGATAGCCTCCAAATTCTCATCAATTATTGATGGACCATAGGGATCAACGATGGGTTCTACTTGCACAACCAACTCCGGCTTTACAGACTGAAGATAATTTGCAGGAAAAGAATGCAAGTGTTATCTTCGCAACAATTCACGAGCAAAAATTTTGTTCACATAGAAAAGAAAGACGAAAATAATGTGAGATAGGGGTGTTGATGGTCCCTGTTAGAATCCACTAACATTAAAGCATCTATAAGCTGAGTGCCTTCAATAAACACAAAGCTTCAAAAGTTTCATCCTATTGCCACTCTTCGATCTTAACGGGATAAGTAGTCATCAAACATGAAGTGAATAAAATAGAATGCAAACAACCAAACCTACTTTCTCAACTATGTTACATCATACAATACACAAACCTTAGTACGACATTACCAGAGAGGAAGATCTTTCTTTTAAGATTCAAGATCAATCACCTAGAGTATGCAAGACTAAAGCATCATCATATGTGGAACAAATACCTTAATATATTCTTCAACATTTTGCATTCTTTGTTCAATAGGCTCTATAAGATTAGAATACCGCAAAACAAGTTCAAAATATCTTACCTGATGCACATTTGCTTGTTGAAGAAAGAAAATTACCATAAGATCATAATATACATTATCAGAACTCTCTATTTTTAATGCTGTGATGCAGGACATGCTCAACTGGCAATTAGGATCGGCTTTGATTTTCGATTTTGGAGAAAAAAGAGAAGAATTTTAAAAGCTGGTTTCTTTCCCATTTTATTCCTACCCAAATAAATGTAAAACACTCTCTCTTTTTCGAATATGTTTAAATATGATTTAACTGGCAAAAAAAAAAAAAAAAAAAAACAAAAATTTTAAAATTAACCCCAT